GAATACATGACTAGTTCATCAATCATAACATGATTGTACTCGTCAATCACTAGATGATCTTACTCAGCAATTCTCCTAGCATCTACTCATGTTCCATATAAAGCATATTAGTCGGAGACTAAGCTACAATTCTCGTGACTACTTGTCCATGGTACACATCGAGGTACTTCTGGGTCCAAGCATCATCACCTAAGTCATTTTCATAACCTAAGTTATCTTTCTAGTTCATTCACTTAGTTATACTTCTATGTTTCCTCACTCATCATCATAAGGTTTTTTTATCATATTATCACACAATCAACACAAACAATAATTCACAATATAATTTATATCGTACATCATAATGTGATTCATAACATACATAAAGCACACATGATAATATACATGTTACAAAATCATAGGCAAAATTATCACACAATCCAACTCAAACCATCTTATTTCACTTTCACGTCACATAGAAAACGTCCATCCGATCGTTCTGTGGTGGGGTTAACCGAACTCAAAGGGACAACATAGTGGAATAACTTAGAGAGACTTCTCTCTATATCATAGTTCTCTACGTCATCTTCCTAATGCATTCGTTTGATCATCGTTACGAGTTAGAAAACTCATTAACTGATCATTTTAACCTAATCAAGATTCTAGGTTAAAACACACCCACACTCATATAATTCTACCAATTAATGTTAAACTAATTCATACACATCATGCTACAAATTATAGTGCATCCAATGTGGTTTGGAAACATCTAACAAGTGGTTTTAGGACAAAAAAAGGGAAAACCAATCGATTAATTTGGGAGCTAATTGATTTCATGGAGTTTTTGTAAAGCATTTTTCACCATTTTACCAAGACCAATCGATTGGTTGTTGGAAGGACTCAGGACCAATTGATTATTTTCATCCTCTGTTTCCATTTTTCACAAAAATCCAATGGACCAATCGATTGGTTTTGCAACCAATCGATTGTTGCTAGTGTAAAAATCAATTTCCCATAAATATAAGCCTAGATAATCAATTGGTCTGACAGAGAAGTCTAGAACCAATCGATTGGTTCACCTTCTTCTTCACTAATCATTCTTCCAAACTCTTCCTATTCTAACAAGCATAAAAAAATCCTTCCAGTACATGAACTCATACAAATCAAATGATTATGAAGTATAACTCAAGAATCATAACACCTAAACAACATGTAATTAAATACAATAACCACAACAGTAACATGAAAGCAACACCATCATTTCATGTTCAACAACAACAACAACACAAAACCCTAGTTCCCAAATCATGGATTATTTCCTCACCCAAGGCTAATCTAACTAGGAATTCACCTCTAACGCATGAAGATGATGAAATGAAGTTGTTAATGATGATGGCTCCTCCATGGCTTTCCTTTTCTTCTCTTCTTCTCTCATTTTCCCTTTCTCTTTCCCTTTCTCTTTTTCCTTTCTCTCTTTTTTCTTTTCTGGTTTTTCTCTCCTCTTCTTATTCTTATCCACACTTCTTTTCTTTTTATTTCCACCACACAATATATAACATATGATATATAATATTACGTAATAAGAGACAAACATCTCGATTGATATTTTTTCTTCTAGTACCAATTAACCAATTTTTAATGTTACCAAAAATGTTTCCTCTTGTACTTATTAATAATGGTCAGACTCGTTTAATAACGATTGATCTCTTAAGAGTCCATTGATTACTCTATTTGTCCCATCTAACAAAACCTATAGTACTTAAGAGTTTATGATATATTACATTCCCCCTCCCCTTAAATTGAAATTTGTCCCTAAATTTCTCCCACTCAAAGAAAGAAACATTCCTTATATCATTGTCCTAAGTCAACACTTGTCTTTGCTTCAGTTAAATTCTCTGACATACTTAAACTTCCAACGTCTTTTCACTGGACACTTCTGTCCTTCGTAATTTCCCGAAACTTCTTGACTTACTCATGATTCTTGTTTTGAGTTTCGCAAACAAAATATTTCATATTGAACCTCTTTCTTCATCCATTTTTGTTTAGATCTAACTCTCATCTTCAATGTGTGAGATTTGTGAGGAGGATTGTTATTCTGATAAACATTTCCTTTGAAGATTTCTTGAAGATCTTAGGGGTTTGCAAATTGTGTGTGTGGTTGTGGTTGGGTTTGAAAACACCAATGGAAAAAAAGGAGGTTCTTCTCTCCAAAATTACTTTGGTAGTATTGTGTGGAAGCATACAAACAAAGTGGAAGTTCATCTCAATCTTCATACATGTCAAGGCTCGATATATCGGTAGGATCGAGTAAAGATCACTACATATTAGAGACTTGGAGTAGCATTATTGGAGGTGGAAGATTAAAATCAATTTTGAGTAAAGATTTTGCAACGATTCAATGTCAGATACTATGTACAAGTTAACAAGGATTTCGATTGAAGATTTCATATTTTCAGCATTATTCAGATTATGATTATACTGAACATCTCTGTAATATGTGTCAAAATCATAGTGGAAGAACAAAACTTCAATGGGTAACCATTGGAGAGTGGAGTAGGCATAACAATGACGATTTTCGAACCACTATATATCTAACGTACCATCTTCTTCTCTCTCTTATTATTTTAATTCTGATTAGATTTACATGAATATGTTTATTGCTTTCTTAGAATGGCATGTGGTTAGGTTGATTGCCTTGATAGAGATTTTGTTTATAAGTCTAGGTTTTGTTAGATTGAAATTTTGAATTATTCTTGTTGTTAATTAAACCTTGAAACAGTAGTTTTAGAATTCTTATTGTATTGAAGTTTCACGTTTACACATCTCGTGTAAAACGTTTGTAATTCAATATATTGATTTGTCGTATTTTGTGACTTGATTCGTCTATATTTCAATTTTGTATATTGATTAAGTATCGTCTATATATCGTCCAAAAGAATACTTTGTACACATTGTGTTTGCATTGCGCAAACAATTTTTAAACTCTAATCTTTTTCAAAATAAACAAATTTTTAACTGGCCAATTTTTAAGGAGGTCGTATTCTCTATTTTTACTCTTTTGAATATAAAAGTGAAGGGAGATGGAAAGGCGCATGTTTACTTACACATAAGTGTTTGGATTCCAATTTATGAATTAAATCCAAACTTTGAAATTCATATTAGTTTGAAAATTGTGTAGTACTAATTCCAATCTCTATGTGATCTTTTAAGCGCGTCTAGATTTCAATCTCCGAAGTTTTTTAATATCTTGCTTTGAAGATTATTTCAAATCTCTATTGTGTTTAAGCGCATTTGAATTTTAAAATTCTGAGAGTTATTTTTAATTTTTTTTATAGAATGTGCAAATACACATGTGTGATGAATAACCCCAACAAAAATAGTGTGTGATGAATAACTCCCAATAAAATTAAACCGTTATAATATTAAAGGTAATGTTAACTTGTGTTTTAAGAACACAAGTTAAAAACTAAATATAAAAATAATATTTTAAAAATTGTGCACTGTTTTCAATAAAAATAAAAATAAAATATTTTTATTGATATTTTCAATATAAATTTTTTATAAATATGTTTTTTAACTTGTGTTCTCAAAGTAGTTAGCATTACCCTAATATTAAATATGCATTTAAGATTTTGTTTGAGTTTGGGGAGGAGGAAAAAATATAATTTTGATAAAATCACAATAAATCACTATAATATTGATTTGTTTTTACATTCTTATATTATATTGTTTAAATACATTAATTATTTAATTATTTAAAATAAACGTGTTCTTATAAATAAGTTTAGGGAGTATAGTCAAGGAGCTTAGATGAGACTACGATGGCAAGCACAAAACTTCATTCTTCATACAATTTTGAGAAACAAGTGTTAGTTATGTTGAGAAACAAGTGCGAGTTCTAAGTTCCATATTGTTTAGAAAAGTGGAGGTTGAGCACTTTATAAGTGAGATAATCCATACACCTATCACCTTAAGGTTTTGGGTGAATATGTAGTGTCTCTCTCATTTGTTTGGATGAGTCTTTGACTTATAGGTGAGTGTTTTACCTAATGTGTATGTTTTCCCTCTCATGATGGCCCATCAGTTGTATCAGAGTCCGATTTAAATAAGGGACCGGCTCCTTATGTCAAAAGTCTTTCTGACACGGTGGTCTTTCCGTTGAAGTGTTCATGACGAAATAAGGGTGTCTCTCTCAACAGTGGTACAAGCATGTGGGTGAAAGAACTTCCGCTTGAGGGGGAGTATAGTGGATGAACTCACACTTGAGGGAGAGATTGTTTAAAAACAAGTGTGAGTTGTGTTGAGAAACAAGTGTGAGTTTTAAGTCCCACATTGCTTTAAAAAGTGGAGGTTGAGCACTTTACAAGTAAGATGACCCATATACCTATCCCCTTAAAATTTTGGATGAATATATGATGTCTCTCACTTATTTGGATGAGTCTTTGATCTTTATATGAGTGTTTAACCTGATGTATATGTTTTCTATGTGAGTGTTTGACCCGATGTATATGTTTTCTAATGACCCATCAACAATTACACCCACCAACAATTCACACTGATAATGATAATGATTTTATATGGCATGTTTGTTTTGAAGTTGGCACAATGCATTTAGAGCAAAAATGTCTTTCAATAGACAAATGAACTTTGACTTTATGTTTAGTATTTTCATTAAGTTTTTCAAATGCACGTTTGCACCTAACCAATATTGACTTCAAATGCACGTTTGCACAGATTCAAAGAACTTAGTACTTTCTCATTCCCATTTTACCCTATAGTGAGGTCCAGCCTAACCAAATTTGACTTCAAATGCATGTTAATCATGTAGAACTTTCTAAACAGACTTTATAATGAATCTAAAACTATTTCTACAAATGTAAGACCCCGTTTGGATGATGAAAGGTGAAGAGTTTCACAATACTTTACTAAGCCTTCTGAATTGGTTTTGATTCCAATTCCAAAAATATCAGCCCTATTTACATATACAGTAGTATAGATTACAACAGGTTGAAGATACAATATCATTCAGGGCTTGATTCTCCACTGTTTTGAAGTCTGACATGAGGACAGAATCTTTCTGGTTCGCCACTCGTCCACAAAATCTTCAGTTCTCTTCGCTTTCGCCCCAATGCCAGAATGGTCCCTAAATCGTCCATGCATAAAAATCATGAGACTCTCGATAAAAAAAAATAATTATAAAATAATGATGTTAATCATAAAAACTACCTAGAGTAAATGGAACAATGTATAGTAGTGCTGGTTGTCCGTGTCCATCCATCAGATTTAGCGCCACGTACGTGATTAGAAGACCTGCGAAAATTAGTCAAGTCATAGTTATGAACACACTCAATCAATCATTATGCAACTTCTAAGTTGACAAAATGAAGCATCTTAATTTTTTAGTTGTGATATAGTTTGCCTGAAATTAACAACATATTATTGAGTCGATAAGTTGATTCTCACCAAACCCATATGCAAACATTGCCCACAAAAAGTATCCACTTACAAGGCTCTTCTTTGCTAACCAATCATACCTGCATTAACGTGTTGTCGATCAGAAGAGAAATTTTTATAAAAACTGACAATTTGCTAGTCAAAAGCACTGCAATATACATCTTGTTCCCCCATTATTAGAACTTGGGTTGATATAACTCAACTATGCAAAAACATACAAAATCGACTTGTAAGGTGAGAGATGTCTCTGGCTTATAAACTCATTTTCAAGCCTTATATCACCCCAACATGACACTCTTAACACTCCTTCTCGTGCACATAACAGGACATCTGGAGTATGACTCAAGACCTGATATCAGGTGGCCTATCAAATCTTGAATATAATTAGACTATGATGTCATATTATAATTCGGGTTGACCTAACTCAATCCTGCATACCGGCTTGTAAGGTGAGGGAAGCCTCCCATCTAAAAGCATATTTTCATAGTTTGCTTGAATATCAATTCAGAGAAGATATACTCAAGTCATGCAAGGGGCATATCGGAAAAAGAGAGGGGATAAAACCTGAGTGAAAATGCCAAAAGCATTCCTGGTAAAAGAATGTCTCCAAAACCTATAATACTGTAACCACCCCACGGATCCAAAATGCGCGGAAACTTTAGTAACATTGGAATACCATCTTCTCCACTTCTATCACCTCGAGCTACCTATAGCGTGTAATGTAAACAAAAGTCAAATTAGTAATTACTTAGGCTGTGAATGAGTGTCGTAATTTAGAATGAAATGTGCAATACTAACCACAATCATCACGCTTTCCTTGAAAAACTTCTTCGAGACAAACACCCAAAATAGGTCATAAAGTAGGGAACAACTGAGAAGAACCGTACCAACCTATTTTGTGAATAAACGGTAAATAAATATCAAAATGCTTAAAACACTGGCCACTACTGATTGTGTAACCTTAAAAAAATACCTTGAGATTAGGCACATGTACAATCTGCAGAACTGTAATAATGAGTGCGATTCCCTGTTACCATAACCAACATAAAAAAATTACCATTAAATGGACACTCATTGTGCTATTGTTTTTATAAGAGGAGATGAAAAACATTTAATAATGATGAGAAACATTTATCCTTACAAGTATATCTTGACCAATCCAGGCGAATGATTTGTCACGATAAACTGCCCAAAACACGGCAAATGTTATACAGAACGGAGTAACAGCCAAAGTCAGGTAAGAGACAGCTCCTATAAAAGGTAATTTAATGTATGTTTCGCTAGCATTCTTGAACCACCTACACGGAAAAACAAAATTAGTTTCTTCTACATGTGGAACATTCATAACATCATGGAGGACAAATCAACAGCTTCCATTTAAAATGACATGGAAGGATGCACGCGTGTGAAATCAGATATTCTAGAACAAACCAAAATATCATTCCCAATCTTTCAGGTTCAAAATTACACTTTCAAATGTAAGGAAACAAGAGACTAAATGCCTTTAGATGTAATTTTCAAGAATACAATAAGGTATTACAGCCCCTTATCCTAAACCATTTATTGACATATAAAAGGGATTAGTATAGTCATGATCGAGTGGTGGATCATAAGATCGTAAGATCTAACGTGCTGAGGATGCCTGAGAGTGCTACTATGAGAAAAAGATAGTTTCCATCGCCGGCGTGGTCAAGACGAGCTTTTTGAAGCAAGATCGTAAAAAAAAACGTGTTGGGTCTTTTTGGGCCAGTATTATGATTTTCATGTTTTTGTGCATTTGTGTGTATGTGTCTATGTATGAAATTACCCTTTTACCCTTCAGGAGGATCTTTCGTGTCGTGCCAGCGATCCGAGTTTTATGATCTTTAACAAGCCGACCGATCCTACTTAAGATCCCGTGCTTGAGTACACAAAGGATGGGTGACCCCAAAAAAAAATGTTTTCCTATCTTTTTTTGTCATGAAACATGCATGTAATCTCTCAACAAAATCCAAATCAGGTTTTCAAACAATCAAACAGAAATTGTTTCGAAATCAATAACTGCTAAGGCAAAAATTTGATAGCTATATATCTATTATAGATGATATACTAGACCTTGATAAAATTGCAACAAAGCAAGTTTGCAAGCCCTGCAAATACAAAAAAAAAAAAACACATGGTTAGAGATAGCTTCGCAGAAGATAACATGAGGAAAAGATATGGAAGAAACACAACTTTATTTGGCGATGGAAACTAAGAATTTAATGTTTTAGATGATCAAATGGTAGTCAATAGTCAATACCTCTATACCACCAATACAGAAGAGAACAACCAAAACCTCAATGAACCACGACGACATGAGTTTGTAAAGCATAAACAGGAAGCACGAAGCAACTAAAACAAAAACGACTGCAGCTTTTGCATTCATATTTACAACTCCACTAACGCCCGCATCTTTTGTGTTTGGGATATCATCCGAAGCATCCTATAAAAGGATCAACATATTAAGAGAACAAATGTGACTTCAGTTTGAGAAAATGCTATAAGAACTAGAGAAACTGACCTTTAATAACTTATCAAGTTCAACGGAGGCTTCTCGGGTCCTCCACGCTGACCAATATGATGCACACAATATGGTAAGAACCGCCATCAACCAAAGAAACACTTCTGCTATGTCGACAGTTGGTCGACGTGGTGAGTAAAGCTGCACCGATACTGCAAAAAGGAAATTGTTTTTGGATAGTTGTAAAGATGTAGTGTCAATCCCTTAACTAACTATATTTAATACTACAGGATATCCACAAAAATATGCCAAAGAATAAGAGACAATAGATTATGAAGGAAACTCACCAGATGAAGCACTCATCAGCATATTTTCCAGCTTCGTGCCTGCATCTAGTGGAAGCATAACGGCAGGTATGTGTATGTTTAAATCAGTTTCATCCGGATCACAAACCATCTTGTACAGCTCTGTAAGTAACAAAAACAAAATTTGAAATGAAAAGAAAAATAAACTTGTGGGTATAAGATATCTCCCACAGCCAAAACATCAGTGTTTGTCGATCACAAGTTGTGAAAAATAGCAGTTTGTTCAAATTTCACCATGCTACAGGGCTATTGGCAACTATTTGACAACACATTGGACTAAATTGTGTATCACATAGCAATAGCGATATGTTCAAATTTCACCGTGCTACATGGCTATTGGCCACAATAGCAACTATTTGACAAGACGTTGTACTAAATAGGGTATCACAGAACAATTACAATATTTTCTCAAAAATTTTTACCTTTCTGGTTATTTATGATGAGAATAGCCGAAGCATTAGCATTTTGTGCAGAATTCGCCTTCTTTGTGAACGTGCAGTTACCTCGATCCACCATGATGACATCTCCCGCAATCTGACAATCCAATTATAAAACACAGTTACACTAGTAACATTAAGTACTCTGTCACGTCTCATAACCGAATCAAAGTACACTACAAAACAAAAGTCTCGTATTTGAAGAAAAGAAGGTACCTTATTCATGGGAGGACTACAACAATCTCGAGGATCTGAAAGAACAAGGCGTGTATGCCGAGCATTTTTCTCTTTAGACACAATCGCTTTTCCAAATCTAGCACCAACACCAACGAATTCTGCATCCTCTACACCATTGACCCAAGTTTGCACTTTAACCTGTTGATTTTAATAATAATAAATAATCTCCACGTGAGTGTATCTTTGGAGGGGTTGTGATTTTGAATGAACTTGACTTTCTATAATTGGTTTGATTAAAATTTAATTTAGCTACGCATGTGTTTGGTTATGTGGTGAAAAAATTGATTCTGAGTGAATTGATTATGTAAAATTGATTTTGGTTAAAAGTGAGTTGAAGGTAAAGTGATTTATGTTTGCATAAATATTTGCAAAATTGAGTTGAATAGTAAATTTTAATGTAAAAATCACGTTTAGTCTCAAGTAGAATCAAATCTGAAGGCAGAATCAATTTTACTTTAAAGAGTCAAATACCTCAAAATCATTCCAAAATCAATTCTACAGCTTTAGATCTTCTAAAAGCTAAACCAAACATACACTAAAAGGACTTATGTTTGAATGTTAAACTTAGTTAATTATTTTCAATCTAAAGCAGCAACTTCTTTTCAATTCTAATGAAATTGAGGGTTGGAGTCAAACCTTGTCAAAATTAACCTAACATCTCAAATTCTCACAAGATACAATTACAAAATCAAATACCACGAAGATTATCAAGTACCAAGATTAATGAGAAACTAAACTAAACATTGATCTCAAATCAAATGCATGTCTAATTGAACAACACCAAGATTATCAAGTACCACGAGCATGCTTGAAACTACCTAAGAAACAAAAATAGACAAAACCCAGAAATGAAAAGGGAAAAAGAAGCAAACTTTGTGAAGAGTATTACCAGAACGAACTGATTCTCGCAACCGGGCTTCTTCGGAGTTGAATCATCGTGAACTATGTCCCCAGCTAGAACAGAAGGAACTTCGCATAGAAGAACAATTACAGCATAAAATGCAAAAGCCCACAAAATCTTGCCAAGAGCCATTGAAGATTTCGTGAATCTGTTACCAAGTCATAGCTGAGACTAGAGAGAAAAAGAGAGATTTTTCTGTTGCTTCTTCGAAAATGAGCTTCTAATTTTGATCCACCACTACCTAAGAAAAAAAAGAATAAAATATAAAATACTAAAATTCTTATGTAACAAATAAAACTAACTTTAAAAGTATTTATTAATGTAGTTTATTTTAAATAGGGTAATTACAAAAATTACTTAATATAGTAACTTGTTGTATGAAAATAAAATAATTCATTTCAAAATAATATAAAAATTTATTGAAAACTAAAAATTTAAATTAATTGAATGGTGGTGTTTTTTTTAATATTCGCAAATTATTGAATAAAAAAGAAAAAAAATGATAAGACATAGAACTTAACTAATTAAAGAGTTAATAAAAATGGTAGTGAAAAATACTCGATCCATCCTTAAGAAAATTTCAAAATCACAAATAGAAATTGAATTTTATGATATGTGATAATTAGCATGTGAGATATTTGATCGAACTCTAATATGATCAAAGGTTAGCTTTTTGGTTCAACAATTCGAAATAATCTTAGCATGTCATCGAAGGTGGAGATTTGTGAGATATTTGATCAAATTCTAGTTTGATCAAAGGGTAGCTTTTTGGATCGACAAAGAATCTTAGCATGTCTTCTAAGTCTGTTCACATGTTGTAATCAAAGTATGCTAGAAGTGTTAGCATGTTGAATTAGGCATTGGTTGTAAGTCAAATTGTTTAAGTTTGCTTGTTCTCTAAGTTAGCTTGTGTAATGGGTCTGTGTAAAATGTCATTAGGTTAGTATGTTAATTTTATTATAAATAGCATGCTAGTCTCTCATCTTTGGGGTGTGGTGCAAATCCTAATTAGGGTGAGAGAGGTTAATTATTGGTATTCACTTGTAATCTTTGAACAATTTATTGAGAAAATGAATAGTAAAACAGTTTCAACTAATTCTCTATTCTTCTTGTTCCTTCTTCTCTCCCTTTTGTAAAACCTAATAAGATTTCTTGTGTTTGTTAAAAAAACTCAAATCTTTTTCTCATAATTTGTTTTGTTATTGATGACATTGTTTCACAACACAACAAAATAAAAAATATGTACTGGTTAATTTATTTGCACAAACATTTTTCTTTATGAAAAATGTGAGATATCTTGAATCTAAAGAAACTGATAATGTGTAAAGTGTAACGCCCTATATAACATATATTTAGAATAATATCATACAAGTGTTATTATCTGGTACTAACACCAATCATAAGTGCCTAGTGGCATAAATTAGATATACTTGACCATCTCTAAAACATAAAAGATAACCTATGGTACGAGATATGGAAAGTTGACAAAACAATAAAACTAAGATCTAGGTACAATATCCTTAATTGTACAAGATACACAATACACAATTCACAACAGAAATAAGCATAATTCAAGCTTCTCTTGAAACATCCTAGCAAAGCTCCACATGCAAACTAAACCTGCAAACAATACCTGAGAAACAACAACAATAATGGGGTGAGATAAAAATATCAGTGAGTTTCCTTATCTTTTGGGTTCACTCGGCTCTACAAGGTTCTAGACAATTTCTATCTCAAGTCAAAAGGGAAAGCGATAATGCTTAAGTTCACACAGTTCGCAATGTATGGAAACATGCCTATTAAGTCCATCAACTCAAACAATCACTAGTCAAAAATTATACCAATGTATCCCTATTTCCCGTCCTCTCCTACGTCTATGACTTTCGGTCGGGTCATGGATCCTTGTAATGTACTTTGACATACAAAATGGATTCGGATTCAAGGTGCTTTCCACATGAATCGTCGCTTCCCATGGGACCACCCTCATCTCAAGCTTTCACCCCTAGACTCCATCACCTGTAGGCTTCATTCGTACTACTCACATGAATCAAGCTTGTCAAAGTAATAATGCGTACATTCCAGAGGAGCGCTCTATATAAGCCTCAACTCTTGAAATGACACATTTCAAGTGATTGTTTCCGACTACATAACAAATTATAACATAATGTCAAATGGATTCATATTCTAAGGGATAACATCAACCTTATGAATCGTCGCTTCCCATGGGACCACCCCCGTCTCAAGCATTTTATCTGTAGGCTCCATTCGCTTATGTAATAACTAAGGATAATGTGATTGTATTGACAATCACACGGCATCCCATTCATCTTAACCATAAACAGCACAAACCATACATCTTCCATGCAAAGTTATCCTCACAACTAGGCAACTACTTACCAATGACACACATTTAGGCATCCTTGCACAAGCATTGTCATATATGTTATTCATCATGACCTGATCATCTTACTAATTCATTTCATTAGTTAACATCAAGGGTTTCCTCACCTTTCTTGTAACACCCGTATATAAGTACATATGTCTAGAAATACATATTATACATGATTGTAAATTGGTACTGAAATAAATATAAGTTTCTGGTGACACATTATACATATTACATGCCCAAAACACCAAAGTACTAAAAGTGGCATAAACATATACAAGATATCCAAAATAACTAAGAACTAGATCATACAAATAATCTCAAAACAGAGTCTTCTCAGCGGAAACAACGCCATAAAAAACCAAAACAAGTAAGGATATCATACTACCTTATCCTTACCATTCACGGAACCTGAAGCACCTGAAATATAATCAACAATATGGGGTGATATAATAATTCTAGTGGGTTCCCTATCTTATATATTCTCTTGGCTTTACAAGGTTCTAACCAATCCTAACTCATACCCAAGAGGGAGGGATATGGCTTTGAGCTCACAAAACACACTATATAAGAACATGTTACTTGAGTCCAACAACTCAAACTATCACTAGTCAGAAACTGTACCAAGGTATCCCCTTCTCTCGTCCTCTCATATGTTTAGGACTTTCGGACGGGTCATGGATCCTTGTAACATACTTTGACATACGAAATGGATTCTGATTCAAGGTATTTCACACATGAATCACCGCTTCCCATGGGTTCACCCATGTCATAAGCCTTTACCTGTAGGCTCCATTTGTACTACACACGGGAATCAAACATGTCAAAATAATAGTGAGTACATTCCAGAGGAGAGCTCTACATAAGCCTTAACTTTTAGAACGACACATCTCAAAGGATTGTTTCCGACTATATGATCATAATGCAACATGATTGTATTCAACAATTGCAAGGCGACACATTCACCTTAATCTCAAAGTAACACAACCTAAACATGTTCCATATAATGTCTCGCCTCTCCATTAGATAACCACTTGTCAAGGATGCGCACCTAGGCATCAATTGCACAAGCATCATCATATAATTTATCTATTAACTCCTAGTTACACCATTAGGTCATTCCATTGAATTATGCCAAGGTCTTCCTCACTCTTTATTAATTATTTTTAATCATATATAATAATTTTAATCAATTCACCAACCCATAGTTACACATGCATATCGTTCATAATAGTCAATGTAAATAAGGTAAAGTAACAATAGTCATGTATAGAAGACAACCAAGAAGCAAGAAAACAAAAAGGGGAAACGACTGCTACATTCGTAGTGCGAAGCCCAAACAACCTCCTTCGCTTTGAGTCCGCAGTGCGAACTCTGGGTGAACCAGAAAATTAAATGGCAATAGTGAAAGGTCCCCTTGGTTGCAGTGTGAATGCTAGATGAACCTTCAGCTTCAGCTTCACTTACACTTGCAGTGCGAGCATGATAGAACTGTCAGTTCACTGACCATTCGCCTCTGTTCGCAATGTGAACCCTGCATTCCAGAACTTTATACCAACGTGAAACATTCATATCAGAAGGGTTTCAACCCCCATTCCCTAAAAGGCTCAAGTAAACCATAAAAAACACAACCACAACATTAAAATAGCTTCAAAATCATGGACATAACATGAATAATACATATTCTTAGAGATAGAACAAAATGTCATAACCTAGTTTTTACCATTCTATTCAAATACCCTAACCTTTAGTTTCTACCTAGACACACCTCTAACAAAAGATGAAGAAGTTATTGATGATAAAGATGAGATGATTTGATGAAGAATGATGAAGTTTCCTCTTCTTCTAGGGCTTCTTCTACCCCCTCTTTCTCTTTTTTCCCTTTTCTCTTAGTATGTTTCTTTATTTCCTTTCTTTTTCCTTTATACCTTTTTTTCCACAAAATGGAACAAAAGCCATAAAGAAGTAACATGAGAAGTTAGTAAGACTAACTTGGTTTAATAATTCAAATTAAGGGTATCCAAAATGTCTCTAATGTACTAATTAATAAAATCTCAGAGTCGGATAATATTAATCAAATCAACTATAAGCATATCAGTAACTCTAACTATCTCAATAGATAACTCTCAAAGCACACTAGAACCTAATTGATCTTGACTAATATTATTTACAGAAATCGCAGGGTTCGCACTGCGAGCTCTAGCAAACTACAAGGGAACATGATAGTTTGTCATGCTCGCACTGCGAGGTGAAAGCAAGCTGAAAGAGGACATTCGCCCAGAGTTCGCACAACGAGCACTAAGGACTTTTGCCACTGCCATATCTTTTTCTTCCTCGCCTAGAGTTTTCACAACGAACTCAAGGCGAAGTGGCCTCGCCTAGCCTTCACATTGCGAACCTGGGAGTGTTTTTCACCTTTGTTTTGGATGCTTGCTCGGTTGTTTCACATGCACGTTTGTGGTTACTATATATTGTTTACATTGATTATGCTGGGTATTATGGATGCGTATTTGTGGATTGACTAAATAATGGTTATATGATTAAAAAGAATTAAGGAAAGTGAGGAAAACTGGTCACAATCCAATGGAATGACCTAGGGATGTAACTAGGAGTTGATAGATAACTAGATGACAATGCTTGTGCATTTGATGCCTAGGTGTGCATCTTTGACAAGTAGTTCTCTAATGGAGAGTTGAGACATTATACGGAACATGTGTGGTTTTTGTGTTACTTTGAGAATAAGACA